ATAATATTTTTTATATTATTATTTTTTCCATGTCATCACTTTTTTTAGTCTTATTGTCGTCCACGTGTATTAATATTGGACATGTCATCCTTTTCCTCGTCAAGTAACAAGACACATAGGTGGATATTTAACAGAAGGACCAAATCGGGGTTAAAATGGTAAACAATAGGGACCAAATCAAGGATTTTTTTAGTTTAGGGATCAAATCGAGAATTCGTACAATAGTTCAGGGATCAAAATTGGGTTTTAACCTTAATTTTACTCCCTTAAGTCCCACGTTGCGCCATATCGATCATCTTGGTCTGAATGAACATATAATATATGCAGCCCACTCGGTGCAATCAAGGTATTTTTAATTGTTGTAATAATTTTTTTAACAATATTTGCACAATTGACTAATTAATTAATTAATTAATTAATCAATCCACTTGATTTTACTAACTTTAGCTTTTTAATTAGTATCTTTCTATAGCACTACCCTTTCCAAATTTAACTATAGTGTAAGTTATGTGTGTTGTGATTTTCCAATTAAACTGTAATTATGTGCATGGTTAGATTTTTATTTTTTTTAAATTGTTCTTTGTGATCATAAAGTCATGTAAACAGGAACAGGAGCCACAGAATTTGGTTAGGAGCAAAAATTGATATTAAAAATTTGAGTCTTTAAGTACCTTTTAAGATGTTAATCTATTTTTTTTTTTTAATTTTCTATAAAAAAGAATCCTTTGGGATAGTCTTTATCGTTGATATATTATTAACCAAAAATTAAAAATAAATGTATTTATTAAAATAAAAAAAATATCACAATAATAAATCATGCAATGATTAATTAACAAATGAATAAATAAAGAGAAAAGTGTTTATTAACTAGATCTCTAAAAAATTAAAAAAAAAAAAACAAAATTATGTCATTTTAATATAATCTTACATTGAAAAAGATAAAAGCAATCTTATTCTTAACTATCCATTCTTAAAGTAAGAATAAAAGTGTTTTGATTTTATTGAAATAAGGCAATTAATTTTGGGTTTTTTTTTTTTTTTAGATATCTTGTTTACAACACTAATATTATAAAAAGATACTAGAATATTTCTTATAGAAAGTGAAATCTAACTTAGAGTGATTTAATACAAAATATTAAAAAGAAAATAAAAAGAATACTAAATAAAATTACAAATTTTAAGTTGTTTAAATAGAAAAACAAAGTTTTTTTTTTCCCCTTTGGGCATAATAGGTGAAGAAATATTTAATAACCCTCAATTCCTAATTAATCAAATTGACATAAAGTTTATTTCATTTGAATTATTATGGCTTGTATTTTTAATTAATATTATTTTACAATAATTTAGTATTATTAAAATTATCAATTAATCATTTTGCTTTAATATTTCCTTTACTGTGAAAAAACTAAAAACTTAGTAAATTTTTATTAAAAAATTAATTATCTTTAAGGTATTTTTATTATAAATTTGACACAAGCATTCTTTTAATTGAAAAATTAATTTCAACCACGGATAAGAGGAAAGTTTTTTTTTTTTTCCTTTTAATTTTGAAATGGAACTTTTGTGGCAAAACTCATTCATTGTTGTTTGTATATTAACCATTTTTGTGAAGAGATTTTTTTGTTACAAATATATGTTGTAATTACGTAAACACTCCCTTCGATTAAATATCAGTATAAATAATTAATAGTCAAATATTTCATCGGAGCTACTCAATTTTTGCATTTGTGACCTTTTTTTCTTTGTCATTCAGTTGTAACTTTTGTGACAAAAAATTTTTATAAAAAAAGTTTTTTTTGTAACAAATAAAATTTTGCAAATAATTCATTAACAATGTTAATTTTTTCTGTCACTATAAAATTTTTTTCTATGAGAGGTGTTAAATTTGTCATTAAAAGCAATAATGATAAATGTTTTATTAATGATCTAAATTTTATTACTAATTCTATCTTGTGACAAAAAATAAGGGTTTAGTGATCAATAAATTGATTGTTAAACGTGGTGTTATTTTTTTGAAAACTCTTTATTTAGGTTGTAAATATTTTTTGTATATTTGAAATAGTTTGTAAAATTCATATATTATAAAAACAAAATTTTTAACAAATAACAATTATAGTACTATATTAAATGTTTTTCAAAGGTGTAGGGAGACAGCTGCCCCCTTTATTACCTCCGTTACTACATGTAAAATTATAGTAATTAAAATTTTTAAATGTATTAAATTAATATAAAAAGTATGCTTTTAAAATTATTTAGAAAATAATTAATTTTAAAATATGTAAAAATTAGTATGAAAATATCTAACTGTAAATACAAAAAATAAAATAATGTAAGATTAAAATTAGCATTTTAACATAGAAGTACAAATTTATCACTAGAAGACAAGTAGGAGATTGTTGGAGTTATATAATTTAAGATTAATCATCAGCAAGTGGCCTGGTAAACACACTGCAAGCTTGCAAGTGGGTGTTAATGGAAATGAGTAATGGTGTTGAAAGCTACGTCATCACTCATACATCCTATAAGGTTACGAACTAGTGTTTTGAAAACCAACTTGGAGGTCAAATTGTTTTGATCTTTGGTTTTCAGTTTAATTAGTTTAACTGGTTAAACTGTTCAAACTGATCAAACTGCTAATTCAATTGAATATGAATAAATAGAGTATTATGCAATAAAATGGCACCTCATGCAATGGTTCTGCTGGTTTGTTACCTTCCCCTATAATTGAGAAGATGCAGGTTCGAGTC